TCATTTCTCCGGTCCCCCATTTTTTTTGATTTTCATTTAATGTTATAAATCTTGGGTCGCCCAAAAAAAAAAAAAAAAAATCAAATGAACTCGACTAACCTCTTCACGTGTGTGTGAATGAGAGAGAGTGAGTGTAACGACATTTCAGATCTATATAACACAGGAACAAGAACCGAACAAACCAACCAAAACTAAACAGCCAAACAAAACTAAATTTGGGTTATGGTGGTGGTTCCAAATACAAAAACTAAATTCTTTTCCTATCCTATATATATCCTATTCATTCAACATAGTTTGATTTTAAAATGTTGGAAATATTTCCGTAATAATTTTTTCCCTTGAAAACTTTTCTTTTAATTTATTTCCGGTTGTGATTTCTTCTTTTTCGTGTAAAAACAAAACTGGAATATTTTCAACAAAAAAAATCCGGAATTTTCAGTTTAGTTTTTTTTTCTGAAACTATTCTGATAACAAACAACAACAACAAACTTGGTCGACCGGCTTAGCTACTTTTTTTTTGCTTTAAAGTGAAAAAAATAAAACATAAACACATTTCCATTGTTGTTTTCGACTTGTTTCACTTGTTGTTGTTGTTGTTGATCAGACAAGTCCGTTATATTTTTTTTTGTAACCCGAAAACAAACCAAACCAAACCAAAAATATTCCTGTTGTAAATAATCTTTTTCTCTCTCTCTCTCTCTCTCTTGATATTTGATTGTTTGTTTGTCAACTCTACATAGACTATAGTTATGTTCGGTTCTCTCACTTGTTTATCATCGATGCTACCTGGAAGATTCTCAAATGATGTACACACACATAAAACATGATGATGATGATGATAATAATGTAATTGATGGTGGTAAAGAAAGAGAAAATCCTGCCAAAAAGAAAAAAAATGATTCTTTTTTTGTTGTTGTTTTGAAGTTTTCTTCTTTCGCCCAAAACTTTATCATCATCATCATCATTATTTTGGTAATGAACGAGTTGAAATTGTTAAGTTGTTGTTGATGATGATGATGTTCCAATTTGATATATTTAAAGTTTCAGCAACAACAAAAAATTTATTTCATTTCTCTTTGGTCTCTTCTGAAAAAAAGACAATCCGAATCTCTCTAAAATTCAACACAGCAAAATTGTCATCATCATTTGGGTAGGTTTCATAATGTTTTTGCTGACGTTTTTTTTTGTTGTTGTTGTTGGATGTCTATGAAGATCTAATGATGATATGAATAGAATGACTGGGTGGAAAGTGGTTGATCTAGATTTGATTTGATTTTTCATCTGATTTTTTTGTTTTGTTTTAAAAAACTTATCCTAATAATCATTTTTTGGGTTTTTTTCCTTCTGAATTTTTTGCCAAATTAGATTTTTGCTGTTGATTTCGTAGAAAAAAGCGAGAAACAATGAAAGATCCATTACTTCGTGATTGTCGTTATTTAAATCCATCATCATCATCAACATCGACATCAAATAATATGACTAGATCAACAATATCAACATCCGAATCAGGACAAGAATTATGGCCAATTGGTGTTAAATTAGGTATTGTACGTTTAGGTTATTCAGCTGGAAAATTAAAATATACATTAGTTGATGAACAAGATATTGTTTTAGCAAGAGAATATACATTTGAAGCACGTTTAGAAGTATTTAATCATCATAATAATCGTAATCATAATAATTCAAATACATCTGGTTCGGGTGCTGTTGTATTTGCTTATGCATATCAAACAAATCAATCAACATCATTAATTAATAATGATAATCATAATAATGATTTTAATAATAATCATGAAAATCAAATGATATTATTACAAGATTTAATATGGCGTCGTCATTATGGACCAATACCGGATAATAAACGTGTTGTACATCGTAATCATATTTCAATGGATAATCGTTTAGATAATCTTTGTTTATTAGATATTGGTAATCATCATTCATCATCATCATCATCATCATCATCGTCTATTGATGATAGCAATAATAATAATACTACACATGTTTGGTATACAATGGCTAATCAGGTTCATCATCATCATCATCAACAACTAATTCATAATAATAATAATCAAAGGTCAACAACAACAATAGCAACTACAAGAGGTCATCATCATCATCATGATATCAATAATAATAATCAAGTTGAACATAATAATGGTCAACAGCATCAACAACAACAACAACAACAACAGGTAATGCCGGTTGAAAATCAACCTGTATCATCATCATCATCATCATCATCATCGCAGCAACAACAACAACATTTTCAACCACCTAAATCATCATCAAATGATCTTCATTTGACATTATATTGGGCAGCAATACAACAATTACCACCGGAACATTTACAACAACAACAACAACAACAGGTTTGTCATTGGGCGATCAAATGTTTTTTTTTTTTTTTTTTTTTTTTTTTTTTTTAAAAAAAAATTTTCAAAAAAATTTTTTTTTTTTTTTTTTTTTTTTTCCCAAAAAACTT